AAGAAGAAGAAGAAGAAGAAGAAGAAGAAGAAGAAGAAGAAGAAGAAATAATGTAAAATGTGAACATCTATAACAAACTGTCTCTACTCTGTAACAAATGAATCCAAACAAATGATAATTAAATTCATATAGAATGTTAAAAGAAGTGTGAAATGATGGCAATGTTTAGCTCAGTGTAAAAGTAACAAAATGAGCATGGGCTTTTAACCAGCAGGGGGTGCCACAGGCTTGTGATTGAGCTCTGACCCTTTGGCACGGGGACTGAAAGCAGATGTGACAGCCTTACAGAAAGAGCATTTAGCTTCTCCACACGGTAACAGTCCTCTTTGATAAGGGTTATGCTTTTCTTGTCCGAGCCACACATTTTGTTAGGATCCTTCCGGAGCACGTTCAAATTTTAGAATCGCAACCTCCCGGTCCCCAACTAACCGCAGATAACCAATGATAGAACAACTCACCACTTACAGGACTGCAAAAAATAAACATGATTTTCAGCCGATGTTGGTTCACTTAGAAGAACTCTTTTTGAATGTAGTTCAATTAAGAGCCTTGCAAAAGCTTGTGAGCTGCTTCAGTAATGAATGTTTTCACGTTGTGAGTAAGCCATGATTGAGATGTGAAGTATGAAGTGCTTTCATTTGATATTTTAAATAGTAGCATTGTCAGTGTTTGCTTCTATCTTACATTTAGGGCTGCTAAACCATCAGGATCTTCCTAATTTCAGGCACATTTTAAATGAAAGTAAATCTCCCTGAACTGTGTTGCATATGGAATTTTAGAGGACATTTTTCCTTATCCATCCACTTCGTTTGAATGTTTAGGCCTCTGCTCTTTCCTGCTCTGCACCCCCCACTATCCATCACTCTATTCTCCCCCCCCCCCAGGCTTCTGTCCTCTCTCCCTTGTCAGCTCTTGCGTCTCTCAATTTCTCGTTACTCTGTAACCTTGGCAGGGATGCAGGTACACTCGTGGCCTTGTCTCGTCTAGCTGCTGTACAGGATGCTTTTTTTGCTCCTTCTGTTAATTCCCATTGAAGACATACTGAGAAGCTAAATGCCGAAGACAAAGTCACGATCTTGTCATATATCTCAGTTTCCTCACCTATTGGCTATAAACTCTTGTCTGGGTGAAAGATTTTCTTTGACCAGCAACTATATTTACAGAATACCTAAGATTTAAGCTTTGTTGGAATTGGAGATAAATACCCCTATCTCTGACTTCATCAGCTCTGCATTGTTTTCCTCACCTCTGGTTTTTTTTTTAATTTTTTATTGTTATGTTAATCACCATATATTACATAATTTGTTTTGGTGTACTGTTCCACGATTCATTGTTTGTGCATAACACCCAGTGCCCCATGCAGAACGTGTCCTCCTCAATACCCATCACCAGGCTAACCCATCCCCCTACCCTCCTCCCCTCTAGAAACCTCAGTTTGTTTTTCAGAGTCCATCATCTCTCCTGGTTCGTCTCCCCCTCTGACTTACTCCCCTTCATTCTTCCTCTCCTGCTATCTTCTTCTTTTTCTTTTTTCTTAACATATGTTGCGTTATTTGTTTCAGAAGTACAGATCTGTGATTCAACATTCTTACACAATTCACAGCGCTCACCTGTAGCACCTGTTTTGACCAGATTTTTACCCTTACGCATCAGAAAGGCTGAAAACAATGACACATTTTTCATCTCATTAAAGTTAATACTTCTCATCCTGCCTAACCAAGTCCTTTGAATTAAAAATAATGATTACTATTCTCCTTGGGAGTATAATAGACAAGGTGCTAGAGCAGTTAAAAATCTGCATTGTTTTGGTTTTGTTCGTTGGAACCACAAACGTAGTTTGAATTCTATAAGACTGTTTTTACAAAGCTTCATGTTTGTTTCTGTGTGATCTCAGCCCTTGAGCTTATCTTTTGTTGGTCTGCTATTATTTCAGAAAACATGTAATGGTGATCATCTTTTAAATCACAGTGATTCTGTTTTACAGGCATCACCATTTTTTTTTTGTAAAGGGGAAAGATATAAAAGATTTAAAGCCTGATCCAAGAAAGAAATGTGTACACAAAGAATAGGAGAATGTGGCAGAAGGATATGAACACCTGACCACTTAACCAAATTCATTTTCACAGGAGTAGCATTGCAATCTCTATTTTTTCAACTTGGTGACAGACTGCATTTTAGATGTTCAAAGATGCACATTCAACAGCCAACAAGAGGTAAGGGCCTTGGTGCCTTTCATCTCTAGGTCATTGGTTAGGGCTAGGCTGTGGCAACCAAAAGTTGTAGTAATCTTCACCAATTTATCTCTAAAGCTCTCATCACCAAGGCTTTAGAGGATAAGAATTTGTTCAGGGACCTGAGAGGAGTGTGAAACATCTTGGGTTAATAATTGAGACAAATGAGCACCAAAGGAACAGTCATCCTTGGGTTATCACAACAGAATCTCCCTAACAGAGAGCTTTATAGTGCCCCTAATTCAAGTTTTCCCCCAGATTTACTAGCATATAAAAGCAAAGCATAGATCAATTTCAGCATGCCATCAGTCAACACAAGAACTTTTTACAAAATAATATCTGCCTGTATAAGATAAAATAAATGCTGTTTTTAATTTTAATGTAAACCAAAAAGTAAAATATTTTAAGGCAAGTAAGAGGGAAAACAGGTAGAGAATTCTAGGAAGGCTTTTATACCATAGTGATTCATATAGTCAGGGATATGATAGTAAAAAGAAACCAACCAAGGCTCTTGCTCCTTCTCTCTCTAATCAATCAAGGTAGCATTTCCCATCTCTCCTGGGCCCAGCCAATGATCAGATCAGATGGTAATTGCCTAATTCTGTACAACTCCTGTGTTGTACTCTCCTAACTCTATATAACTGCGAAGGCTAGGTAATGGATACCACCAGGAAGAGGTAAGTCTGAGGGTGCTAAACTGAAGGGGGGGGGAGGAGCAAGTCTCTGAACAAAGGCCAAGGAACAGAGCCCAAAACACTGGTGTGTGCTCGAGTGCATAACCCCAATTTGTAAACAACAGGGCATTCCTTGTCCTTTTGTGCAAGACAAAGACCCAAAATAAAGACCCTGAACATGTTGGTTCTGTCTGAGAAACATCCCAATTGTCTGGAAAATAAGCAAAGGTAAGAGTGCCTAAGATAAACCACCTGGATGTGCTTGCAATGAGCACAGGAGACGACTAAGGCTATATGCTAGTTGCTCAGGGTCTAGGGCTTAGAAATACCCCCAACCCAGAACATACCCTCCACTGAATATCATGTCACTTCTTTTCAAAGTGTAAACAAGAGGGCAATCCCAGAGTCCAGGGTAGACAGATTTCCAAATACAGGCATAATGAAGGTTAAGACACTGTTAAGTATGAGGCCAAGAGTTAATACTCTTCTAAAGCTGAGAGCCTAAGAAATTCAAAAGTCAAGCTTGAACTATCAATCTTTACAGAGAAGCAAATGATTAATCTTCTCAAAACAACTTTACAGATGTAATTGTCTAAATTAACTACAAGTAACTTGAGAGACATTTACTGCCATAAATAAACAATCTGTAAGCTCACTTTTTCCATCATATCACCAGTTTGAGTTGGGCTTTTAGACTCCAGGTCTTTTATGCTGATGCAAACAGAGATCTCTCCAGTGTCTTTACCATTTTCAAATATCTGAAAAATAAGTGCATTCAAAATTAAAAATAAATACAAGCACCTACACATTTGTACATATGTTCATACATGCATATATAAAGGCAAGCAGTCCTGGCTTTGCACAGTATGGTGTCAACTGAAAGTCATGCATGTAGGAACTGTGCAAAGCGAGGCCTGCCTCTATGAACATGTGCAAGTAATTGGCAATGAAAATCAACAGGACTAGAATAGTATAAGAAAGTCTCTTGTTTCTCCTTTCAGTTTCAGTGTCTTTAACCTGACTGGAATTCCCTACAACTTTAAAATAGAAGAAAACATGGACGTTAAAGGAAAAATCACTGACAGCATTGGATGCTTAAATGGAACAAGCACCAAAGAAAGGTCAGTTAGTGAACAATTAGCTAGTTCATTTCATTCTTCTTGAAACATATAAAGCCATGAATTACATGAGGAATCTCTGATTTATATTTAAAATATATCGGTGTTCATGGGTTGACTCAGCAGAGCATGCAATTCGTGATTTCGGGGTTGTGAATTCAAGCCCCATGTCAGGTGTAGAGATTACTTAAATTAAAACCTTTAAAAAATAAAAATGATAAAACACATCAGTGTTCAGCTCATCTTCTGACTCACTAAAAGGAAATTCAACATGACAGATTTATTGCATAACAGTACAATGAAGCCATCATTTTAAGTGCACATATGCAACAAGTTGTTGAGAACAGAGATAAAATTCTTAACATTGCTTTATGCAACACTTGCTGAGAAAAAAAATAATCTAGCAAGCATTCTGGTCCAAAGTATCCAAACAAACCAGTCCAGAAGGAGGGATCTGCAGTGAACACCAACCCCTAACCCCGTTGTGGACCCATGTGGGGTGTGCCATTCCATTCACCAGGCTCTTAAGAATAGAAGCAGGCCAAGAGAGGCCTGATGAATAATTTAAATCCTTGCTTATTTTATTTTTTCTCAAAAGTTCTTTTTTTCCCTTTCTGATACACCTATCACATCAGAGCATTGTATTTTTCTCTAGTACTATTTCCAGAGAAGATAATTTAGGAAGGGTGCCTTGGTGGCTCAGTCGTTAAGTGTCTGCCTTCGGCTCAGGTCATGATCCTGGGGTCCTGGGATTGAGTCCCACATCAGGCTCCCTGCTCAGCGGGAGACCTGCTTCTCCCTCTCCCACTCCCCCTGCTTGTGTTCCTGCTCTCGCTGTGTCTCTCTCTGTCAAATAAATAAATAAAATCTTTTAAAAAAAAGATAATTTAGGAAAATACCTTATTTAAAAAGAAAGAAAACCATCTGTTTTACTTTTGAGAGAGTTTTGAGAGTTATTTAATTAGTCCTAACCTAGTTTGGGAAATAATGTGCTTCAATAGCACTTCCTTGGGTTTTAGGGGAAAAGAAAAGAAAAGAAAGAAAGAGAGAGAGAGAAAAGAAAGAAAGAAAGAAAGAAAGAAAGAAAGAAAGAAAGAAAGAAAGAAAGAAAGAAAGAAAGAAAGAAAGAAAGAAAGAAAGAAAAAGAAAGAAAGAAAAAGAAAGAAAGAGAACTTTTAAAAAAGAGTAATAATGTTCAAGAATAGTAGGTGCTTTTCTACTCAGTGCTTTTTGTCAGGCTGATAGTCCGCGGAGATAGTACAGCTATCAGCCTTGGTACGTTGATATTCTCTACCCTATAGCATCTTTTGCTAAGCAGGATTTTTTTAAAACTTCTTTTCTGAGTACATATACAATTCTGAGCAAGAAATCCGTCTACTTCTGCAAGGAACTTTATAAACCCAACCCAGGTTTGCCTGCAAACCCATGGGAAATAACGTGGGTGGAGAATCTTATCTCCCAACCATCTCTTCAGAGCCTTCACCTGGAACAAGAGCTCTTAAACAACAGGGACATTTGGTAAGGATGGTCACAATTCTGGGTGTCGCGCATTCTGCAAAGTTAGCGTTGACAAAAGCTCAGTTTGGGGAACTTACTGATGTTCCTTTGTCAAGACTTGCTAGATGTGGAATCAGAGTGCAGAAAATTATGTTCTAGAAAAGAGCAGTGTGAGTGCTCACTGCCAAACTGAGAAAGCAAAGAGGAGTTGGCCAAAATCAAAAACCTTCATTAGCATATTGCTTCCTTCACTACCAGTAAGAAGTCTGCCCTTCTATATCCAGAAGTGTTCTCAAAAACAAACAAACAAGGCTCTGGTCTCCAAAAATCCCTAAAAGGGCATTTAAAAATATGCATGTGTTTTAGAGTTTAAGTAAAAGTTTAGATGTTTAAGTGAAAGAAGGCTGCCCTCCAATAGTCATTTGTATAATGTATTGTTTTCTGTATTTTTACAAAAATAAAAATTCCCTAAGATGAAATACTATGAGATGCTACTTTTCTTAAGGCCCACCTCTCATTTTAGGGTCTTCATTACTATGCTCATTTTTCTAAAATTCAAGTATTATATTTATTTTTTTCTTCCTTTGCATGAGAAGTATTTTTACTTCTACCCTCCAATGTCTAAACAAAGATCACCCTCTAAACAGAGTTTCTGTGATTGACTAGATATAGAAAAATTAAAAAATAGTCTACTTTTATTTTCCTGCTGCCTGATCCTTGGCTTAAGAAAAACGATTGCTGTATTGGCTTCCCAGTGGCTCTCTGCATGGCCTCACCTCCCTACAGCTCTAAAATTTAATTTTTATCCTTGGAATGGGATGATGGAAAAAACTAACTGAGGCTAGTCTTGGGTCCTAAGGAATAAGATAATAGAACCTTTAAAAAAAGTGATCCAGATCCTCTTAAAAACATGGTAGCTAATGACTAGTGAAAAAAATACCTATGGGGCACCTGAGTGGCTCAGATGGTTAAGTGACTGCCTTCGGCTCAGGTCATGATCCTGGAGTCCTGGGATCGAGTCCCGCATCGGGCTTCCTGCTCAGCGAGGAGCCTGCTTCTCCCTCTGACCTTCTCCCCTCTCATGTACTCTCTCTCTCATTCTCACTCTCTCAAATAAATAAATCTTAAAAAAAAATACCTATGAATAAGAATTTAACTCTATGATTAGTTACAACAAGTAAAAAGGTTTAAGGAGTGTTTTCCATGAACTACAGTCCTTTTACTCTCCTTCATGTCAATATTACTTTTCTTAAACAGGATTAAATTAGATTAATACCAATGTTTTATTGTAATGTTGTTGATTCATTCACTCAACAAATATTTACTGAGTGCCTACCATGTGCCAAGCACTGCTCAGGTGCTTAAGAAACACCAATGAGCTAAGAGTCCTGCTTTTGAGCAACAGAACATGTAAGTAGATTATATAGTATAGTCAGGGTATATCCAGGTCTTGTAAGTGCTAGTTGTTAATTTTTTTGGTTAAAGAAAGACCACCATATTATATACACTTGGGTGGACCTTCTTTAACAAAAAGAGTGCAAAATTACAAATGTAAAACTAGATACAAAATACTTATTTAAAGTGAGAAAAGAAATCATAATTTACACACACTAAAAAGCTCACACATAGCAAAAATATTACAAAACATTTTCATTAATTAACTATCCAACACACATATTTTGGCTGACTTGTCTTTGATCACCTTTTCATGTGATAATTTGGTAACATTTTCTATAAGGAGACTAGAAAGATAATTCTTCCCTCTAGCACAGTTAATCAACAATTTTTTTTTATTGATTAGAAAAATCTCTTTCCATCAGGCTCTATGCTCATTGCAGAGTGTGCTTTGGATTCTCTCTCCCTCTCCTTCCCACTCTCTTTCTCTTTCTCTCTCTCTCTCTCAAATAAATAAAGTCTAAAAAAAATTTGTTTAAAAAAAGGGGGGGAGCTCCTGGGTGGTTCAGGCAGTTAAACTCCTGACTCTTGGTTTTGGCTCAAGTTGTGACCTCGTGGTCATGGGATCAAGCTCAAATAAATAAATAAATCTAAAAAAGTTGTTTAAAAAAGAAAAATCTCTCTCAGCTTCACAACTTCGTTGGCCATTTCATGAAAATATTTAGGATTGATGTCAAATTTGGGGAAACAATCAGTTTTCCTTAAAATGTGAGCTGTAAAATGTGGAAGAATTTCCACAAATAGTTGGCTTTATTATTTTCACACCATGTTTTTCCTCCACCACCTATATATTTTTGATGCCAAGCACCCTAGTCCATAGTCAGAAAGCAATACACTCTATGGCCAGCAGGTAGTAGCCATCTTCCTGGAAGCTCTTTCCACATCAGAACAGTTAGCACTAACTGAACCATATGTACCGGGAAGTGACTGCAAAACACTAATTACATTCCACTATACCCAAACTAAACGTATCCCCAACTCAATATCCCCCCACCAGACCTCAAAAATGCATGCAGCCACTTCAACACCACTTGGTACAACGGAAAACTTGACAGGAGAGGAAGTTGGAGTAGAAACAGACAATGGTCTCAACCAGTTACAGTTAAGATTTTACAGGAACACATGGCCACGTACACCCATTGCTGGTGTTTCTCCCAGGGTTTTGGAAGGGGCCTATGCAGGGAAGGAACCATGAAGCTTAAGTTTCATTAGCTTCATGGTAAACGCACCCCTGAAATTGTTAGAAGGTGAAGTGCTATCTAAAAAAGGGCAGGGTATATAGGGTCTGGGATCAGAGAGTGTGATGGGTATGGTAAACACAATATGACTCAGGTGACCAGAACAGGCCTTCAAGAAAGGAAAGATTGGACTCGGCAGGTGAGTTAACCAAGCAGATAGGCTGGGAGAGGAGCATTACAGGCAGAGGGAGATCCTTGAGCAAAGAAACTAAGGCAGGGATGTGGCCAGTATGTTCTAAGAACTGCAAGAAGACTGAGGGTGATGGAAGGAGATGGAGAGTAAGTAAAATGAAGTCATAGGGTTAGGGATTGACAGGGAAATGGGGAATCTTTGCAGACTTTGAAACAGCAAAAACAGGATCTAACTTAAAAGGATTATTGTAGCTGCTGGGCAGAGAGTATATATTGCAGGGAGTAACAGCAATCTAAAGAGTGGATGATGGTGGCTCA